GTGCTCATCAAGGAGTCTTCGCAAACCCAAACGACGCCCGCCTGCACACGCGCGTCGCCGGGAATCACGGTCACCGAGAGACGTTTGAAGTGGCCGTTGAGAAGCCGGCTGGCTCGCTTTCCCGCCGCAGGTACGACTTGGACGCCGGCGTCGAGTCGATTGTTCGGCGACCGCGACGCTCGGGGAGGCGTCGCGCTTTGCGCCGGATGGGCACCAAATGAAAAATGGCCGCCAGAAGCTCACCGTTTCATGTCGCTATCAAATCAAAACCTCGAACGCAATCGTTTTTCAAGGCACCGATGAGGTCGGTGAGAAGACACTCTGGGAAGGGGCGCCAACATTTGTTTACCCTCTTGTCCAATAAGGGAGCAGTGTGTGCACAAAGTCGTGGGTTTTTTGTGTGTGTGTGTGTGTGTGTGTGTGTGTGTGGGGGGGGGGGGGGGGTGTCATAATAAGCATGACAAAATAGAAGACTTTCGGAGGGCACATTTCATACCCAAGCTAACTCAATGTGCTTCACAAACCATCACGTGACAAACGTACGAGCAGTTCCAAAGTGGACGAGATTTGAAAGCACAACCACAAAATTCAAAAAGCGCTTCCTTGAAATTCCAAAAGCCAGAAGAAGATTTTAGAAAAGAGGAAACGGTGACTTTCGAGGCTGATTTTTATCGACACAAAATGTTTTCCTTTTCTTTTTCTTACAGTAAGCGATGAATCTGAGTGTTGTTGATGAATTAAACGGTGGGAATATTTCAACAAAATAAAATTACGGATTACTGAAACCTGCTGGAATGTTAAGGATCCAGGCGCCCCTTCATCATCTTCATCATCATCATCATCACTACAAGGCGCACGCGTGTGCGCGCGCTAGCATAGCTAACATAGCTAGCTACGCTAGGGAAGTTCTTCGTCGTATTGACGGGATTGCTCGCGAGTCCTTCGCACCGCGCGACAACGTTGGCCAGCTGGCTGTGCTCGCTCCTCACTTGCGGTTGTCCGCCCAGCAAAACACACACACACACACACACACACACACACACACACACACACACACACACACACACACACACACACACACACAAAGACAATGGCACTCCGGCTCCGAAGCGCCTGGTTCCCCTCCCCCAAATTAATTTGTCAAGTTGCCGCCGCTGGAATAAGACGTTCACCTTGAAAAGTCCATTTACCAGTGCGCAAAAAAAAAACATTCCCACAAAATACACTTTTGACTTCGACGACCCAAAAAAAAAAAAAAAAAAAAAACATGACAGCCACTCACACGCGCGCACACGAACGCACATTGTTGTGTGTGTGTGTGTGAGGGGAACCAGCCGGGGAACCAAACAAATGCGCGTGAAACCGAACGAGGAATCCCAAAAAGAAAGCAAACGCGTGCGCGAGAAAGCAAAATGTCATACGAGGCGGCACGCAAGCGTGTCGACCACCAAGCAAGTCCCAAAGCGAGCTCAGAACCAGACAATGAAGCCAACAAGGAGCCAAAAGTGGAGACGAGAAACCGCAACACTCGAGAATACGAGGAAGCCGAGCCGCGGAAAGAACCTCACGAAGAAGCCGACGCGCAACCGTCCGACGAACCAAAGAAGGGAACCAAACGAGAATTGAAAGGACCGCCGAGACATGCGCGACTCGACAAATTAGGGAGCCAACAAACAGGTGACACACCCAACGAGGGAGGAGTCGTCGTCCTCCGTGCGTGTCTGTGTGTGTGTGTGTGTGTGGGGGGGGGGCAAAGGAAACGGGGGAACATTCGAGAAAGCGCCAGAAGCATTCTCAAAAGCCAACGAGGCGCCACGCAGGCACCCCAACGAAGGAGGCAAAGAAGGGTGGGGCCAAACAAGCGGGCGGGCACAAGAACGCAAACAAGCGTAAAAAGAAGCAAACCAGGAAACAGACAAGCAGCCAAACGAGACGGCGGACATTTCGGCAACCGAATCAGGATAAGAAACAATGAAGAAATTCAAAGGACACGCCAACGACGGCAAATGCGGATGAAACCACGACGAAGGCAATCCGGGAAGCCCAAAAAGGAGCCATAAAAGCAAACAAAACGAGGCTGTCGGGAAGCCATTGTGCGTGCGTGCGGCTAAGCTGGCACGTGGCGATCGAGCTTTTTTTGCGAGCAGCATCCATGCGCCCGGACAATCTAGCGGCGCTCTTTCATGGAGCATGCTACCCGCTCATGTTGCCCATCGAACCCCCCCGCCCCCCAAGCACGCCAGTCACGTGACATTGGCGCCCGCCGCCATCTGCGGTCGGCGGGCTTGGCCGGTAAAGCGTCGCTGCCCCGACGCTCTCCCGGGCCCTGCACCGCCCCCTTCCCCCGCAGCCAGATGCCGCCTCCCACTCGTGTCGCTTTACGGCGCCACCGCATTTGCCAAGACCGATAAAAATTAAAAAAAATAAAAAAAATGAAAGAACATCAAAATGAACGGCAATGGCCGTGACTCCGCCCCTCTGCCTCCCGACAACAGGTCAAAGCCGCGCACTCGCCAATGCTGCTCGCCCTCTTGGGGCGCTTTGACATCTGAGCGGTGAAGCAAGCACACTCGTAGGTCGAAGCGCAAGTAAAATCAATCAAAATAAAACACACACACACACACACACACAGGTGCACACAGCTGCCTGGAAAAAAAAACACTTCTGCAACCTCAATTCCACACATGCTGTTCCCAGCATATTGTTGGGCTCCGTTTTGATCCCAAAATCCCCCCCGCCCCCCCCGCGCACATCATCTGCCTGCCGACGCTGCCGTCTCAGCGTGCCCGGATCACATTTCACACACGCGCGGAGCCCTCGAACAGAAAGCAAACCAACCTGACGGAACTCGATCGACCGTGACGACGAGCTGGAAACAAACTGACAGAAAAAAAAGGTCAAATAAAAAAGGTTGTAAAAGCGAGCGAGCGAGGGGGGCGTTGGAATCTTGGTGCGCGTCTACGTTTGTGCGCCTTTGCGCGGATCGTCGTATGAGGGAGCGTGGACTTGGCGTGCGTCCACTCGATGCGTCTGTGCGGACACGCGCGGAGCAGCCGAGTTGCGAGGTGGGATGTGCGCCGGCGCGGATGCCGGGGCAGGGGCAAACGTTCCCACGATCCCCCCTGCTCCCCGGGGGCGCCGGCGGGGCCTTCCCGGCCGAGCTTTTTGCTTTGGCGTCCCGATGAGTCCCGGCGGCGAGGACTGAGTCGACTGGTCAGTCGTCAATCACCAAGCGAATGAATGACTTCGGACGGGGAGTCGCCGTACCGAACGAAGGAGGAACCGAACGAGTCAACGGACGGCGACGATTGCCGAGCGAGCGACTTTGTTCGCCGCAGGGCATCCGAGCGAATGGGCAAAGCCGAAAAGAGAACGACTTTGACTGACGAGAGTGCGTTTGTGCCAGCGCCAAAGTCACGGAGGGAACGCTCGAGGGGAGTCACCGAATAAAGGAGCAAATGAGCAAGCGCAGCCCCCAATTTGATGGTCACGAGGACCCGAGCGAATGGACGAGTGCGAACGAGGGAGAGCCGAAACGAGTCCAAGGGCGCGTTCCGAGGAACGATTGACAGAGGAGAGACTTGCGTCGACAAGCGCGTCGGGAGTGTGCGGGAGCGCCAAGGGAAGGCCTCGGTGCCTGGCGTGGGCGGAGATCAAAAGTTCAAAGGTCAGCCTTCACGGGCGTGTGCGTGCGCAAGCGCAAGCGGGGGGGGGGAGGCGGGGGGGTCGTTACGGCTCAGGTGTCACACTTGACTTCAATTGATGTTTGCAGCCATACCTGCGAGAAAGCCCCCCCGGCCCCCCCCCACCTCACTGGGCTTTTCCTTCATGCCATGTCATCCCATCGATTTAGTGGCCGTCTCTTTACTGTAGCTGCGACGATATCATTTGCATGATGGCTGGCAAAGCGCGGCGGGCCGTAGCCGCCTCATAAATCCGTCTTTCTTAACAGCCACTAAAATGCAGAGAAACAACCGGTGGCGGTAAATCACCAGCGCGTGAGGCGAATGGTGGTCGCGCACGCGCCCCATCGCCGCAGCCGAACGTGTCCGGAGCAGGCATTCCACTGTCGTGTACGCGGGCCAATAATTCTCTTCTTCTGCGCTCCCTCTCATTCCGGGGCCGTTCTATTCCGAGTTCCTCCGCTCCAGGGTGGCCGGCTATCCGCAACCCCCCCTCAAAAAAAAAAGAAAAAAAAAAGAAAAAAGATTTGACTCTGGCAGCAGGCTTTCATTTCAAAGCTGCGAGTGCATCGAAGCCAAGCGGGCCGCCCTGCTTCGAAACGGATCGAGCCGTGTCTCAAATTGTATTTTAGGGGTCAAAGGCCACGCGGGCGGTGCCTACGAATGGAAGGGCGATCGCCGCACATCTCGAATCGGCGCACTTTTACAGGAGCCTCGACGAGAGAGAGAGAGCGAGAGAGATGGGTTTGTTTGTTTTTTTTCCTTCTGTTACTTGGGGGCTCGGCAATACGACACGGTCGCCGCAAAAATGGTCGTGTGTCCATTTAGTCCTTTGAAATGCCGCGTTGTTTTGGCTGGCTTGCGTTGTCGTCGCTTCTACTGCGCTCGCTTGTCATGGCAATGTGCAACTTCAGCGGCACTAAAGTGTCAAACGGAGAAGTCAAATCAGGCCCGCGGCGCTCGCTAACGAGGCAACGGGGAGCGGCCGCTTCCTGTCCGCCGACCTCCTTTGAGGTCATCCGTCGGCTCCCGCCTTTGGCGGTGGGCGGGCGGGTGGACCGGCGGTAAGGAAATCTTGGCGCCCTTCACGCACGTTCACGTGGACATCTGTTTGCTTGCAAATTCAACACACGCGTTGCCGGGCCGTGTCCCGAGCTCCTCCCGTGGCAAAGTTGGGCTGAAATCAACCACCTCCATTTGGGAAATCCCAATCCGAGCCACGCTGGCCTTCGGGTTCCACGGCGAGTGCAAACAAGCAACACCTTGATGACATCATCTCACACACACACAGACACACACAAAGGGGGCGGGTCCTACCTGTCGATGATGACGGGGTCAGAGGGCGTCTCGTTCCGATTGCCGCAACTTTTCTTGTCGCAGCAGCGGCTGAGGAGGGAAGGCACGCGGGCGTTAACGTGGGAAGGGACCGCAAAAGCAAACACTCGGGTGCTCCGTGGACTCAAGCAAGTTTCTGATTGGAGAACATTCGGACTTCAGGATGCGCTGCAAATATTCCGGAGCCGATCGACATACTCTGATTCAAAAGGAAAGACCGTCGTCATCCGGCCGACGGAAATTGACGGCGCGCGAGTGCGCTCTTCAGATGACGGCACATCCGGCTGAGGTGCGGCCCAAGCGGGAGCGCGCCGATATCGCGCTCATTCAAAAGGTAATAATTGCAACCAAAAGAAAAAAATGCAATCAATTCTCATCAGGATTCGCGCCTAAATGTCAATGTATTCATCGACGCATTTATTTTATGGCGCCCCCCCCGGGGAAAAGGCCGCCGCTGGTATTAGCATAGCATCTGGGGCTAATTGTTGAAAAACAACGTTGAGGCGCTTCACGCTGTCGTCATGAAACATGAATGCGGTCCAAAGTGCGCGCGTGTGCGCGTCGCCGGTTGCCGCGCGCGGCCCGTCGCCGCCGCCAGCCAAAGTTCCAGGAGACCAATTATGGCGGGCACCCGCGGGCGCTGCCTCGGCGACCGAGTGTCATCGGCGCGCCGGACCCCAGGAGTCGTGCCAGCCGCGCCCGCGGGGGACGCCCCTCGGCTCCCCCTCGAGCCTCCCTCGCAAAACAAAACCTGGCATGCCGTCCGCCGCATTTGCTAATGACGCTTCCCCTCGGGCCGCGAGCACGCTAATGAGTGACGCTGACGTTTGTGTTGATATGTGTGGGTGTGTGTGTGTGGCTTGTTGGCACAGGCTGTGGCTGTGAAGGTCACACACACACGCACACACACAAAACACAAAGACTTGGGGCTCGATTTGATCGCACATGGACCCGTGGATAAAAGCTGGCGCATCTTGATTTTGTTGGTGGTGAAAGCTTCGTTCGGTGGATTTGTGCTGAATTCGGCACCACCACGAGCAATCCGACGGACCGAGGGCATTTTCTTTTACACGCCCCCGACTTTGCTGATCATTTGACGGCTGAAAGCAGACTCGGCCGCTGGAACCTGGCACGGCTCGCGTAACTCATATTCTGGTGAATTTGATGGAGGCGCGGCGAGACAAATTGTGCGGTTCCTCATAAACGTACCCGGCCCCCTTCGCCCTCCTGCACGGCACTCCAGCAAATGCACGCTTCAATTCTCATGTGCCGATTTGAAAGGGAACAAGAGAAGGCTGCGAAGCGAGTCAGTTGTGTTCGCACCCACAACGGCGCCAAACGCCAGAGGCGCTATTCTAACCGCGTATGGGAAAATACCAAAACTCTGTCAAGCCTGCCCCTTGCAGATTTTATCACGCACCTTGTGCCAGGCACAAATATTGAATATTGAAGATTGAATATTGAGCCCCCCCCCCCCACACACACACACACACCAGCGTGTTTTAACAGTCACAGCTGGCAATGCCTGCAAAGCGTGGAACCATCATGTTGAACTGAGACTTGGCTGCGATGGAGTGTGTGTGTGTGTGTATGTGTGTGTGTGTGTGTGTGTGTGTGTGTGTGTGTGTGTGTGTGTGTGTGTGTGTGTGTGTGTTTCATGTAGAGGTTCAGCCTTCAGCTGGCACGGCGCCTCGTCACAGAGGTCAGAGGTCAAAGTCAGCATCTGACGCTCCCTCGTGTTTGTGCCGTGGTTTGTAGCATCTGTTGTCATGGTGACTGCTTCACACGCAAGCGCACACACACACACACACACACACGGGTGTGCACACGCCCCCCGTTTGACTGACGCGGACACGCCCGCACGGCCACCTGTGTGCGTGCATGTGTGATTCTTGTGCTGAAGCAGTAAATGAACATTAACGAGTGGGAGAAAACGTGTTGATTGGCGCATCGACACCAGAGACAGACAACAGCTGCTGTTTGTCACTCTCACACACACACACACACACACACACACACACACACCCCACACACACACTTGCGCGCCGCACGCAGAAGGAGTGTGAAGAAGAGTCGTACCTGCACATGATCTCATGCGTCAGTAGAACGCGACACATTTCCGGGTTCTTGTCTTGTCCCTCGTACAAAATGGCCTGACGACAACACACGCACACACACACACACACACACACACACACACACACACACACACACACACACACACACACACACACACACAATCAAGTTGTAGAAAGATGGAAAAACATTTTGGGGGCAACATTCAAAGAGGGAGATTTGGAGACACACACACACACAGTCCATGATCAAGTTCCATGCATAATGATCAAATAAATGCGCTTTTGTGTCGTGACCTGGGTTATCTTTCAGAGGTCAAATGTCAAATTTTCAGCTTCTCTTCCGAGGGGCCGTCATCGATTGGCGCCGGCGACTCCAGCCGACCTGTCAGCGCGGGCGGCGGGTTTACGCCGCGCGGTGCCACGTGAAGCTTATCGATCGGCTTCCCGAGCGCCGGCCGTGTCGCCGACAGCGCCGCCGCTTTTGTGTCCGGGAGTGGCCGCTCAAGTTTACGAGCGCAATAAAAATGAGCAAGGTGGGTTGCGCCGATGAGAAATCCTCAAGTTTGGCCGAACGGTTTGCTGTCAAAACCCTCTCCGCTCTTTCCACGTCTCAGCTAAGATGAGTCGCACCTTCAAATAGCTTCGGGGTCACTCCAAGGGAAAACCCCTGCAGTCAACTATTTCGAGTCGCTACATTCAGTTTAAATGCATCTCTCCTTATATTATTTATCATTTTATCTGTGGTTTTATTGTTCTTGTTTTGATTGTAAAGTGTCCTTGAGTGTTTTGAAAGGCGTTTATAAATGAAATGTATTATTATTATTATTATTATTATTATCTTGCGGTTTTTCGTTTCGTGCAAGTGAGGGGGGGGGGGTGGTACTAAAGAAGATGCTGCCGGCCGCATCGGTCTCACCTGCTTGGTCATGGAGTCGATGAGGCGCACGTACAGGTCTTGCTCCGTCCTGATGCCTGCAACAAACACACAGCACACCCTCACACGCATGTCACCCAGTTTTTTTTTTTGTTTTTTTTTTTTGGGGGGGGGGGGGGGGGTTCCCCCATCGGTCCGGTGTCAACGTGAAACTAGGAAGCCGAGCGGCAATGTGAACATTTCCAATGTGTGCTTGCGACTGAGCCGCAAGAGCGTCCGCGTCACGCGTCGCTCAACGGCGGAAAAGACGCGCGGGTGTCGGCGGCCCGGCGGCTCGCCGTGCGGCGGCCGCGCGGGCCCTGACATCGTCGCAGCCGCGCAAAACAAGAGGGAGCGTGTGGGCGTGCTCACCGTTACTGTAGAGGAGTTGTAACCTGTAATGAATCCCGTTGTTGGTCTTCTCCCCGTTGTACTCCTGCGTGTGACAACAAGACAAGACAACGTCAGTCAAAGTCGAGGCGGCGCACAACCGCGGCACAGCAAGCGCGCGCATGGACGCGGCGACATCCGCGCAACACCGACAGGAAGACGACGCGCCCTCGGAGAAAGGCGACGTTCCCGCGATGCCGAGAGCCGCGCGGCCAAAGCGGCAAACCGAATCGAGGGGGCCAAAAGAAAAGCGGGACGGTAAAAACCAACGAGACAACAAACGGCGACAGAAAATGGACGCGAGCGAAGCCGCCGAGACGACGTCAGCGCGGCAACTCGGGGCTCGTCGCGAGGCGGCGTTTCGCACGCGCGCACGCACCTTGTCTTTCTCGACGAAGTCGAGGTAGGACGTCCGCTCGATCTCGACGGGCTGCCCTTGCCGGTCGTAGAGCGCCAGGACGAAATGGAAGAAGTTGGACTTCCTCAGGTTGGACGGCGGCTGCTTCTCAAAGTGCGCGCGGGCCAGACCCACGCCGCTGACACACACACACACGCACACGCACACGCACACACATACATCGTGAGCCGAAGCAATCGGCAACTTGGCCCGCCGAATGCGAGCGCCATCCGTCCCTTCCGGCCTCCTCCGAACAACGGCGACGACAAACGCCATCGCAAGCCACACTTTGCATTCCTTCCCACAGTCGTACTCGCGATGTGCAAATTAGCATCTTCAAATGACCCCCGACCCTCCATATTTTAAAAAACCCACACAAATGTCGTTTTTTTCCCCCCTGCAATTTTCTTCTCCACTTCTCCCTATTTTCCGTGAAAAAGACTTCTTGAAGCCTTATTTGACATTGTGGGCCATGGAGTAAGTCCTCCTCGGCAGTAGTTGGCGCTATACTCTGGCGGTTTGACATGTCTGCTAGCCGTCATCCGCTTCGCAAAGGAAAGTTGACTTTTTTTTTTGGGTCATTATGTTCATAAAATTAAATGTTGTCAATCAAAAGCACAAGAGGTGTCGGTGCTCCATATGGAACACTCGTGCTGCGATTGTCTGGGGAAAAAAAAAAGGTGTCATGATTCGTTTTGTGACCACCAGGTGGCACTGTAGGGCTCTCCCTGCAGCTGCACACCTGTTGGTCATTATGTAATTAGTGCTTTAAAAGGAAAAAGGACTCCCAGCCCGAGCACTCGCTGTCGGGTCATTGTTGCTCTTTGCTTCGGTCATGTTTTGGTCACAGTTCTGTTCTAGCTTCACTTGTGATTTTTGTTTGCTACTTTGGACTATGTTTGTTTTGGATTTAGTTTTCTCTGTTTCAATACACTTCTTCAAGTACAACCTGCTCCTCCCTCTTGCCTGCTTTTTGGGGTCCACCACCACCTCGCAACGTGACAAAAGGGAAAATTGTTTCGTTGCATTTTTTTTTTTTTTTTAAGAAGAATCTTTGGAGTTTGAAAAGCTCCAATGGCAGGCCTGCACTCTACGGAGCAACGTCGATTGAACATAAAGACACATCATGATCATGAACAATCATCATACGGCTCAGGGGGAAAAAAAAAGACCCCAAAACGAGCCATAGGCGGGGTTGCGGTAGGCGGGATTGCGGCCGCCGCCGGCCACAACGCCGCCCGCGTTTCGAGGCGGCGGCTCCAAGCCAGGCACCGACACAGGGAAGGCGCTTTCCATTTTCACACGCGAGGCAATGGCGAGCCAATCCCGGCAAATGCCGTTCAAATTTCTGCACCGACGGCAAAAGCTCGGCGTAGCGGCGGCGGCGGCGTCCGCGAACGAGGAGGAAGGGCTAGGAAGGGGCGAGGCCGGGCGGCCGCACCAAATTCCCACGCCGCGAAGGCGGTCGCCGCCACGGGCGGAGGGAAGCTGCTCTCCGTATCCGAGTCGGCGGAACGGAGGACCCGTCGCGGCAAAGCTTCCCGACGTGGCGAACGGCGCTGAGAAATTTGGAGCAAAGCCGCTGCCTTGAAAAAGCGCAGCCTCAACCCGAATGAGCAGACATCCAAGGTCAGGACAAAGAGAAAAAAAATGGCGGCGAGGGACCTTTCGCAACCGAGGGACAAAATAGCGACCATTTCATTGCGAAGTCGCGCCACGCCGCCGCCATTAATTCACGTTGGGGGCAGCGCCCGAGTCCCCAGGCGAGTGATCAAAGCCCATCTGACCTTTGTGCGCGCACACACACACACGAGTCTCACTTGAGTTTGCAGCGGGAGTGACAAGACACTTTTTCTTTTTTTTCTTTTTTTTTCTTTTTTTTTTAACGCGTAACGGCAAAATGAGGACTGAATGCAGCTTGTCAAGACAACTTAGCGACTTCGAAATAAAAAAGGATTGGATTTGAGTGTATTGAAATGAAACGGATGGAATTGAATGGCAGCAAGTGGAATTGGAAATCAAACATGCAAAAGAATGAAGCCAAACACGGAAACGCTCCCCCCCGAAGAAAAAGCGTCTGTGTGTGTCCGCTTTGTGCCACGTCGCCCGCCACGGTCGATATCGGCGACCAAAACGTGGCGCCGTCACGGCCCATCCTTCGACGACCCGACCGGCGACCTTGGCTCGTGAGTTCCTTTGCCCTTGCGCGAGCTGCGTTGCTTTCCGTCATTTTGTCTCCCAGCCTTAGATGACCCTTGCCCCCCCCCTGGCCCCCGCCTCAGCTTACCGGACAACGTTGACAGCATTTTCCACCTCGTTCCACGAGCCGACATTATTTTCACCCGTTGGAAAGAGTCAACGGCCCGGCGGGATTTGCCGGACATCTCCTTGTTGACGCGTCCGACCGACGACACGTCGCTGGCCGGGCCGCTCGCAACATTTGCACGACTCTCCGCTTGACTTGGCGCCGCCGACCGCGCGATGCGACGAGTTCCTCTCTCGCGACGCGGGGCCCCTCCATCCGCGCCGCCTCGCCGCTAAATTAGGGCGAGCGCCGTGCCGAGAGAGCGCAGGCGGAGCGCGGCCGCTCCCGTTCGGAGAATGAGATGCGCGGCGGCGCCGGAGGCGCAAAAGGCCTTCGGATTCACGCGCGCCGTCGTGTCACTAAAAGCGGCCCGCGTTATGGTGGCGCCGTTGGCTCATTTGGATTTTGGGGGTTCCATTTTCTGATGCTCGGTTCTCATGGAGCGCCCTGTGATCATTTCATGAGATGAATTTAGTGATTGATTGATTTGAGGTTTTTAAGTTGATTTGATCATTTTCAGACGACAATAAATAATTGGGTGGTGAACTCCCACGCGTGCGTCCGATGACATGCAAGTTGTGCGCGCGTGACATTTATTGTTGCTATTCTTCTGAGACGCCCTGTCATGAATTATTCATAATCGACGACTTTTTATTGGAAAATTGTCGACCGGGACGGAGAGAGAGAGCGCGGCGCGCTCTGGCTCTCACACGCATGGTGCGGAGAAATTGGCTCCGTAGCTCTCCGACTGATCTCTTTGTCGTACAAATGTCCCCGTTGACCGAATTGGCATTTTGGGTTTTTTGCCCTCTTATCAATGTCATGAAAAAGTTTCTTGTCATTCACCCCCACCCCCCACACACCAAAAAAAAAAAAAATGCTACACCCGCATGCATGTGTTGCTTTCAATTGAAAGGAGCTCCAAGCGCTTCCTGCATGGGACTTTGCAGATGAACAAACAAAAGTGGAGCATTTGCGTGATGTGGCCCGGCAATTTTTCTTTTTCTTTGGAGAGGCGCATTGTCGAGATTGGAGACGAGCTGCAAAGGCGGCTACTTGCATTGACCCAAAGGATTGGATGCAATCGAAATCGCGTCGGAGAGCGTGGCCGTGATTCCTCCCCGATCACGCTGGCGATTGGACAACAAGCGGGACTTTGGTGCCGTTTGACCCTCGTCTATGAGCCTCTGCACGGTTTTCGCGGTGAAGCCTCGCAAACCGAACGCTGCCCCCCCCACCCCGCACCCTCCCTCCTTAAAAAACCACGGCGACGTTCGCGAGAGAACCGAGGAATGAAAGCAGCAAAGCATTTGACATGCGTGCGCGCGTGCCTGACCTCTGCGCGGCCGTGTTGGCGTCGAGGATCCCGGCGCCGGCCATCCAGGACCGCACGGGGGTCATGCCGGTGGGGAGCGGCTCCTCCTTCATGGTGAGGCCCCCCCGCGGGAGGCCGTCCTGGATGGAGAACATCGCCGCCGCCGACCCGCACCAGGAAGACCCGCAGTACTCCGTCACGCACCTGGATGACGACGGCCAGGGACGGGTAAGGTGGGGGTGGGCGCACCGGTGGGACGTTCCCCTAACGAGGGGCGTCCCGATCCACGCCAGAGTCCGGAAGGTGCGATCCCTCCGGAGCGAAGATGGAGATCTTTGAGAGCTTCAACGCTCCACGCCGCCAACTTGGAGGAGGAGGAGGAGGGCGGGGGGAGCCGAGCGGCGGGGCATCCCGCGGGACCGAGGGAGGAGGTGCGAAGGTGCAATTGGGGGG